GGGCTTTATTGCTCCTTCAGTTTCTTTTTTGATTGTTGTTTTCCAGGCTTAATCGATCACATTGGGAAATTAGGTCTGTAAAACCCCCAGGCAGCTGCTCTCCATGCACCAGTAAGTAGCAGAGCTGGAATTCAAGCCTGACTCCGGCACGTGTCCAGGCCAGGAACTCTGCGGGAGCCTGCCCCCTGACCCTGCTCCCTGCACCCTGCCACCTGCCCCCTGCTCCCTGCACCCTACCCCCTACTCCCTGCACCCTGCTCCCTGCACCCTGCTCCCTGCTCCCTGCACCCTGGTCCCTGCTCCCTCCTCCCTGCAACCTGCTCCCTGTTCCCTGCCCCCTGCTCCCTGCTCCCTGCCCCCTGCTCCCTGCAACCTGCTTCCTGCTCTCTGCTCCCTGCTCCCTGCCCCCTGCCCCCTGATCCCTGCTCCCTGCTCCCTGCACCCTGCACCCTGCTCCCTGCTCCCTGCACCCTGCCCCCTGCCCCTGCACCTTGCTCCCTGCTCCTGCTCTCTGTCTCTGTCTGAGGGGTCTCCCTGCTTCCCTACACCCTGTCTGCTTTTCTTCATGGCACTCAGGGATCCAGCTCCAACTGCACACCCCACGACCCCCACACCACAGGGGCTTCACTGTAGTTTCTTCCCTTTCTTCCAATGGGCTCATCATTATTTGTGATACTTAATAAGATCGAAATTTGGCCCTGAAAGTGAGTCACCAAACAGGCCATTATAATTTGTATTGATTTAGATGAAGATTTTTTTTTAAGGTAGAAAACTGCACATAGAGAGGTGGGGGCCTGGCACATTCTTTCTTGCTCTTGATAGTGGCCCTTGTTCGGGAAGCGCCAAGGAACACCCAGCCCTGCCTTTGAGAAAGGGGCCGACCTCTGGACACACGGCGGGTGGTTTTCTGTCATTCTCTTGAGAGTCCCTGAATATGAACTCCACACAGCCCCCTGCCCAGCTGTTACCCAAGAAAGCAGTAGGTTCCCAAACCCAGTCGTGTCTCCACCCTTCTCTCTCCCTGGGGGACGGGGAGTGCGGTCCTGCGGCCAGAGGGGCTGGCTTGAGTGGGAATTGGAGTGTTGATGCCACTGACTTTAGGGCACGACAGGAGCTATGGGCAAAGAACAAGACACTAGAAAACATGTTGATAGAAATAAAAGATGTACCAAAGGAAGGAGAAAGAGTGAGAGAATGAAACCGAGCTCCCAGGAGGGCTGGGAGAATGGGCCTCTTGCAAGCGTGGTGCCACCAGGGCGCAGCTGAGGAAGGCCTTGTGGATCCCCTGAGTCCCACCTGAGTCCCACCTGCAGGCATCCTGGCCTGCTGATGGCAGGAGCTGCAGACCTGCCCTCCAGCAATGGGTAGGGTGAGGGCTGCGCCCTGGGTCCCAACCACCCCAGGGCTCCCCCAGCCTGGAGCCCCTGGACAGGGGAGGGGCCCATGGCTCTGCCTCTGCTGCCAGAGGACCCCCCCCCCCAGCAAGCAGAGCTGCCGTTTAGGAGTGAGGTTTTGGTACACCAGTAAGGCTTTGTGTGCACCAAGCTCTTGTGACAAAGTAACCTAGAGGGCGGTGCTTCCGGGACCTGGGAGCCACTGCTAGGGGAGGGAGGCACCAGGTTCAGCAAGGTCCCAAGGAGGGCCTGAAGGAGTGGGCCAGTGGTATGAGGATGGAGTGGGGGAGTTTGTTGAGTCCCCTTTCAGTGACAAGTGCTTTTTATGTGTATTTTTCTATCCCAGCTTTATTGAGATGTAATTCCCATGTGATCCACCCATTGGAAATGCACAGTCAGTGCTTTTCCACAGAGTTGCACCACCATCCCTGCAATTAATATTAGAACATTTCATCACCCCCAAAGAACCTGGTACCACTGGCACTCATTCCCCATCTGCCTCTTCCTCCAGCCCCTGGCAACCAGCAGCCCGAGTCTCCTGTCTAGATCCGCCTACTCTAAACACCTCCCAACCACGGTGCCTGCCTCTTCCGCTCACGTAAGTGTTCGAGGTGCAGCTGTGCTGTAGTAGTTCACTCCTTCTTAGAGCTCAATGATATTCCACTGCACAAAGATGCCACATTTTATTTATTGATTCATCAGTTGGTAGGTGTATGGGTTTTATTTTTCCTTTTTTTTTGGCTTATGATGAACCGTGCTGCCATAAACATGTGGACATGCGTGCTTTTTATTTAATCCCCATACCAAATATAGTTTATTATAGTCACCAGTTTATCATGAAAAACTGCAGCTTGAAGAGGGTAAGTAATGTCCCTGAGACTGGAAAGCTTCCTTCAACCTGATTTGATTATGATAGAAGGACAAGCAAGAGGAAATGAGCAGAATTTAATTTCACCTTACCAGGTTGTTATACAACCACTGGGTAAGAAGAAACGAGGAAGGAATGAGAGCAAGTGCGTCAGCAGGTGCGCCACAGGCTCCGCTGGCCTCTCGGGAGGGGTCTCAGCAACGGCCTCGGCCTCGTGCTGGCCCTGCGCTGGCCGGGCTCTCGGGTCTGGGGGCTGTCCCCTTCCTGCTCACCCTCTCGTTTCAGGGGCAGACGTGGGAATTGGACCAGAGCCGCTCGAGACGATTGCTGGAGTGGCCTGTCAGCCTCAGGAGGACATGTCCCCGTTCTGAGAGGGCTCCCTGGGTGGGCTCTGCCTGGTGGCAAGGAGGGGAGTATGCCAAGTGCCAGCAAGAAGAGCCTGGAAGAGGGGACTCCAGCCTGTGCCCAAGGGCGGCTCTATGGTGCGGAACCAAGGGTCACCGAGGCTGCTGGCTCTGCTCCCTTCTGGCTGCAGGGCTTTCCCAGAAAGCACCTGGGCATGGGAGCGCGGGTGACAACGTGCCGCCCCATTAATGTAGCTCCTGTGGGCTGGCAGAGCCCAGCCAAAACTGGTAATCATTGACCCCCAAAGGCTCCCTGGTGCATAGCAACGGAGTCAACAGGAAAGCTGGCTTTCCACTAAGCCTCCACCCTGAAGCCTCGCCCTCTCATCTCCTTTCTGGAAGGATGCTGTTGAGCCTGGACATTGGTGCAGACAAGCCCAGGACTGGCAGCCTCACAGACAAGGCCACAATGGGATCCTTTTATTCAGGGTGTGGCGGGAGCTTGAGAGAGCAATGAGAGTTGCAGGTGGCATTTCTGAAGGTGTAAATAGCTCGATTGCTTCTACGTCCAGATACTGTCTAAGCCCTGTCTGCCCATCTGTAAGATAGGCGTAAATGTCCCCACATTTCAGGCGAGGAGATTGGCACACTGAGAGGTCATGTAGTGCCCAGTGTTGGAGCTAGTAAGGGACTTCAGATTCAAACCCGCAAACCCACTTCCTAAATCCTGCCCAGTCAGCCAGTTGACAGGGCTGGGACAGGGAAACCCACTATGACCTCCAACCCTGGTGCCTGATGCCAGTGCCTTCCACTTTGCACACCTGTCGGAGCCGGGTGACCCTGAGATGTGGCTCTGCCTGCAGGTGCAGCTTCACCAATGCCTGTACTCAAGGCCTTAGCTGAATTGTCCTGTTTTATAAATTGTTGATATTGGGAATTCTTTATGTTTCCTTTAAAGCAGAGTGCACTTTCTTGTGGCAGACACTCAAGAGTATGCTCGGGCTTCCCATCCACATGGAATTCATTCCTTTTTGGGCTGGGAAGGCTGAGTTGATGCAATACCAACCCAAACCACAGATACTGGCAAGGGTCACACTGATACCAAGATCTCTGCACACACAATACACACAACTCTATAAACACAGAAATCCCTGCATTAAACTCCATTGCTATTTGAGGCGGGTGGCCCAATCTGCGAGATTTAAGAAGAGTTCATTAGAGATGTGTCCAGTTTTCAGAACAACCATTCCCTCAGCTCACACACTTTTGCAAGACAAACAAATGGGAGGATGATCATTTGATTTGCAAAAATTATTCTTCACTTTATAAAACAATCCACCATAGGATTCCTTTAAATATCAATGTCCTAATGCATAGGTGGCATGACCCACAATACACAATTTCTCTTCACACACATCTTTTTTTTTTTTTTTTTTTTTTTTTTTTTTTGAGACAGAGTCTCGCTTTGTTGTCCAGGCTAGAGTGAGTGCCGTGGCGTCAGCCTAGCTCACAGCAACCTCACACTCCTGGGCTCGAGTGATCCTCCTGCCTCAGCCTCCCGAGTAGCTGGGACTACAGGCATACGCCACCATGCCCGGCTAATTTTTTTTTTTTATATACATATCAGTTGGCCAATTAATTTCTTTCTATTTATAGTAGAGACGGGGTCTCGCTCTTGCTCAGGCTGGTTTTGAACTCCTGACCTTGAGCAATCCGCCCGCCTCGGCCTCCCAAGAGCTAGGATTACAGGCGTGAGCCACCGCGCCCGGCCACACACATCTTTTGAGAACAGAAATTGGTTTCAATATGAGATTATATATCTAGACATGTATGATATTTTCAACATAATGACATTCTCTTTAATAGTAATGAGAATAAAAAGACCATGAGACTTTGGTTTGTTGTGTAATTTAATTTTTAATCCTAAATTCATTGGAACCTGGAATTTCCTAGTTTGGATCATCTGGAAGGTCTTGACTGAGTGCACGGTAGAGGCCCAAGAACTTCGGTCAAAGTCAAGTCTGCCAGAAGCCAAACTGACCCCTCCAGCCTTCCCTATGTGGAGGGTTCTATCTGTTCCTGCTCCAAACTGGTTGGAACTTCACCCAGGGTTCTGCAGGGGCCTGCCCTGTCTCTGCAAACAGCGATCATGTTTGCTGTCTTTTCCTAGGTACCTTTTCTCCCGTGCCTTCATCCCTGTCCTGGGTCCTAACAAAGACAACGTGACAAATTCCGAGCCCAGCTGCTGGAATTCCAAAGCCAGCAGCTGCTGTTGACGGCTACAAGGTTCAGTCTTACACGAGGCTTTGAGAATCGCTCGGGCACCTCTTCAGGCAGAGGTGAGTGGCTCGATTTTCACCTTGTCTTCTAAGCCAGCCCTTGCATGCCAGGGGCTGCAGGAGAGCGGGTCAGGCTAGCTCAGGAGGAGCCCCCAGGGCAAGCCCTGTGTGACCCTGGCGTCTGCCTCCTCCAGGCTGCTTGGAGGTGGAGCCCCACCAGGAGGGGGTGTCAGGCTGGTGTCACCTCTCCACAGCCCCTTTGAAAATGGGCACTTTGAGTTGTTCACACCTTCCTGTATCTGGCTGTTTCCTTGACAACTATTTATTGAGCCTGCTGTTAGCCTGGGCCTGCACAGGGGACATGGGCGAGAAGAAGACAGTGGGGTCATGGCCTTCAGGCCAGCACAAAAGGGAATGTGTAAGTGGAATTTACTGTTCATGCCAGTAATAAAAAGTAAAGAGCACAATTAAATATGGTAAAGAGGAAATCTGATTTAAATGGGGAGGAAGTAGTCAGGAAACTCTTCTTTCTTTGAAAAACTGACATTTAATATTTTTTCTGAGGAATGACATTTAAGTTGAGGCCAAGAAGTCAGCTGGGTGGTGGGTGGGGCGGGGAAAGCAGAGTGCCAGGTGTCCCCTGCAGAGAAGACAGTGCTTGGGGGAGGCCCAGAGAGGTTAGAGAGGTTAAGGATTTGCCCACGCGTCCATGGCTGGCAGGAGGCAGGGTCCTCCAACGTGCGTCTGCTTGCTTTGGTGTCCCAGCTGGCTGCCCGAGTATGACCTTGGCACTGACTCCAAGGCCAGGTGCTTTGCCCCTGCTAGACAGCGCATGCGCCGGGCCGGCTCGCCTCCACTGGCAGGTCCCTTGTCCACCAGGGTGGGGCCAGCACCCCTCTGTCCACGTGAACCACGGCCACCACACCAACCTTCTGGCTGTGGAGACGCGACATGTGCTTCCCCCACCCCAGAGGTCAGCAGGTGTCTCCAGATGGAAGACTTCACTGCCACAACTTCAGGCCATTGCTCACAACCTGCTAAGCCGGGACAATCTGTAGATGCTTCCAGAGGAAGCACGGCGGCTTCAGCTGCTGCCACAGTCGCCTCTTAATTCTGTGGACATCACGACCACTTCCGAACCTCCCTTGCACGGCAACTCCCCGCTCCCAACATCAGGGCCCGTGGCCTTCTCCTCCACACCACCCTCGGGTCCGCCTTCCACGAACCCCCAACAGACTCCTCTCCTCCTCTTCAGGGCTTTTGCGCATGCTCTTCCCTGTCCCTGGAAACCTGTCCCCTCCCTATCCTTTTAGGCTCACTGTCTAACAAGGTTTAGACTCTTGCTAGCTCTCCCTCTGGTGTGACTGCTTACACGGAGCACAGAAATGTGTGGAAAGCCACCACTCCCGGCACAGTGAGCAGGTGCTGAATACATGTTTGCTTTCCATCTACATTGTTTAGCAGCTATTTTGAGTTTGCCTTAGGGCTTAAAAGCAAAGATTTCTCAAGTCTGACAGATTAGATTCTTCATATCTTTGCTTTTTTGGCTTTCTGCTTTGTGACCTTGGGCAAGTTGCTTCACTTCTCTGATCTTCAGTTCCCTGCTGCTAGAGTTACTGTGAACGTAAATATGAGAGCCTGTGTGAGAGATTTTGCATCCGCCTGGGCCTGCTGTAGGCCTTGGGGGCCCAGGGTGTCACTACTCCAGAGGGAACGTTCTCACATGCTCCACACTGTGTCCAGCCGCGAGTCCCCTGGAACCGGCAGGGCACCTTAACCGCCATTCCACACTCCGGAGACTTCTCAGTCCTGGGCTTTCTCTTCATTCCTTTTCTGCTTTCACCTCCTTTTTAACCTTGGTTTACCCTGTTGACTTGACTCGACCCACTTACACCCCATTAAGCAAAGCTTTCCCTAGGTAAAGTGCAGTGCTCTTTGAAGTTTAGAAGGGAATAATTCCTAGGAAAACCTCTGGAAGAGGAGCCAAGCAGCTCCACCTGTGTGGTTGTGAGTGCTCTTGTTCCCAGGCTCTGTCACGCCCTTGTCACCATCCCTCACAGCCCCCAGGGATGTGCTGCTCTCGCAAACTCTGAACAAGGCAGAGGCAAAGTGCCCCCTTTTGGCCCTTCTTTGCATAGCTGAGACATGCTGGCATCTCCAAAGTGCCTCAAGAAACAATTACGAAGAACACTAGGAAACAACATTGAAATATTGGGGAAAGGAGTAAGTGTTGAGCTTCCAGATGTGGGTGGGTTTCTGATTCCACAGCAAACGCTCGCTGCCCCCAAAGACTGTTCACCCGGCCTGGGTGTGGCTCCCCTGGCCCCGGCTGGCCGTGGTGGCTGGGACATCATGCTCCCAGCACTTCCCACTGAGACCCAGCTGAGGTGCCACCGAGAGGCACAGGCTTTTGTGGGGAGAGTATAATTTTCTTAGGCCCTAGGAAACAAATTAGCTAGATAGAATTTAAAACCTGAACTTGAAGATTTTAACTCCCTTTACTAGCTTTTTGTAGTTTTTTTTTAAATTTGGTTATTTCCTTGATTCTTCATTCCTCATTCAAAGGCAAACATATGTACAAAGTGTACACATGCATGTGTGACTTCTGGAAGCCAGAGAATGGAATTGGTTTTTACCAAGTGGCTTGTAAAAAGGCTTTTATTACCTCTTAGTTACACCTCTTATTCCGTAAGCTTTTATGGCCTTTCGTGGCATCAGTGCCCTGCAGCCAAAAAGCATGAGGAGCACATCTGTGTGTGAGCAAGCTGGGCTTTTCGCAGCTGGGGAGAACAAGCACCAGGAGCAGCCGTGGGGTCTCACCGAGAGGGTGCTAGAAAGACTTGTGCTCCAGGTGATATGGGGAAGGTTTAAGGAAGCAAAACTTTGCTCTGGATTAGGTGTGTCAGGAAATGTGGGTAATTCTATGATTGACTATGTTGATAAACCTTATTATCTAGGAGAGAAGACTGGAGCGAGGCTGTGACGGACGGGGAGAGAAGCAGCAGTCACTGGGGTGCCCGGGATGGGGTATTTGGCCATTTGTGGTCTGGACAGTGCTCATGTTGTTGGTGTTCAGACATGATTGCAGAGTGGCCTTGTTTTCATTCTGACCCATCCTGATCAGAGTGGTCTTGTCTGATGTTGGCGTTCTGTGACATTGTTTGTGCTCAACAGAACAGCAAGACCTAGTTGCAAGTACCAGGACAGCCCCCAGTAACACCAAGACTTTGCTAATAGTACCAGCCAGCTCCCAGGTGCCAAGGGCTGCTTTCTTCTAGCTCCAATCCTTGCTACTGTCGATGGTAAAAGAAGGGGGGTCATGCCTGGGTACCATGCCTCTGTTCAGCCTTGCCAAGGACAGTTCTCTCCCTCTGTCCTGTTCCCATCTCTCCAAGACAAAGCATCTGTCCTGATTATAGACAAAGCTTCATAACATTTGTTTACATTTCCCAGGTCTTCTGTTCCACGATGGAGGATGGGCTCTGCAGCCAGCGCTGTTCACAGACAAGCTGTGCTGTCAGAACCTGTCACCCTCTCCTGGAAGCCTCGGCTGTGGGCTCCCTTGGCTATAGTCTCCAGTGCAGCCCACCTGACTCTGCCTGGTTAAACTGCTGCACTAGTTTAAATTTGTGAACCAATAACAATTGCTGCTATTTATTGCATAATTGCTATATTTTAGGAACTTTAAATATGGTCATGCATTTAAATCATATAACAACCTTTGAAAGTATATTATTGCAGTATATTATTATCCATTTGACAGGTGAGGAAACTGTGGCTGAGAAAGGCTAAGTAGTTTGCTCAGGTCACCTAAGTGTTGAGTGGCAGAGCTGGGGTTCAAATCCCAAGCTAGAGCCCCTTCCACTCTGCCACACTGCCTCTGGCTGTTACCTGTTCTGGGAACATTCGTGGCCCACATCTCCTGTCTTTTCTTGATCCCCCATGCTTAACACCCCAATGGAGGAAAGATATTGGAGAAATAACACCAGGTTATTCAGAAAATGCTACTCTGACCAACTGGCCCCAGAGATGCCTACGGAACACAGTGTCCCCTGAGAGCACCAGCATCATCAGACCTGTGATTCCCGGTGCTTGCTCCCACGCTTTCATCTCTGGAAAGGGCGAGGAACCCGGGAAGGCCTGTGCTGATTTGCCCCAGACACACGCACACTCCTGGCTTCACAGCAGAGAAGACTTGGGAGTATGCTCGCCCCAAGGAGAGGCAGGATATGCCTGAAGCGCATTCCTAAGTCTAGCCTGGAAGAGTCCTGGGCTCAGATGCCCATGCGGCCAGGAAAGATGGTTTCTGCCACCTTTGCCAAGTTCTGTCTAAAAAGAGCCCATGTGGACCCCACATGAGCTGCCTGGTAGCACTAAAGATTGAGATAACCTCCCTGGCTTTACCAATCAAAAGGGAAACACCACCTTCTGTCCACTAGAGGTTCTGGATTGATGGGAGTAATCCAGGGAGCTAGGCGACTTGATGCTTCTCCAGGCTCTGAACTTTTGCAAATCTTGCTAGGTGGCTCTTTTCTAATAGCTTTGAGGATTTTCATAGACAGCAGGAATCCCTCTGCCGCAGCAGTTAGATGCGTTTGATTTAGCTCCTTAGCAAAGGTGTGCTGAAGAGCCTACGCCTGACACCCAGCCTGTTGGGTCTCCTCTTTGGTGGCTGCCTTAACACTCTCTCCTCAATCCTTTCAGGGCAGCAAACCTGCTGCCTGACAATTTTTGAATTATTTACCTGTGAACAACTTGAGAACAGGGTCTGTTACCTTGTTTGTTTCCTAATATATCACCTGGCACATAATAGGTGCTCAATAAACAGAGTGTTTGTCCAAATATATTGATTACGAAGGCAGAGGCTGTGCTTCATAATCCCATTCAAAGCATCACTAAGGAAGGTCCTCAAGAAATGTCTGTTGATTCAGTTGACAACTGATCTGAAACAAAGCAGTACATTTTCATACAATCCTTAATTTCTTCCCTACCACAGTTGCAAAGAACTGGGAAAAATAATCTGATTTCTGCTCATAGTTCCTACCTCTCACATGAATTCTTACACTCGATCTTAGCCAAAAGGTTGAAAGCGATACATGAATTCTTGACTCTCAGAAATGTCCTGAAGTTAACAAAGGTTGTGTGTAAGCCGTGAGAGGTCTAGCTAAAAGGCAGACCGTCATGCGTCATCCGTCTCTGTGGAGAAGCTGTCGGAGAGTGGCGGTGACGGCCCCGCCTGTCGCCCTCCCTCTTACAGAGCGGCTTTTTGTGCTCCGGGCACCGCGGGTGGGAAGCAGGCAGGTGCCAAGGGCTGTAAGAAATCCCGATTCAAGATGACCCTGCTCAGGTTCTTGAGAGACCTGTGAAGTACCTGCAAAAGCACAGCCCCCATACTTGGGCTCCTCACATATTGGCACAAGCACAACCTTTCGGGTGAGGTGGGCGTTGCATACAAATGAGCATGCATTTTCATGGAGAAGAGGAGATCCAGGAGGAAAATATGTCCATTTTCAGGAAGTTGAAGAGCTGTGAAGCGGAACAGACTTCGGACTTGTCTAGAATTATAACGAGCTGTCTCTGAAGCATAGCTAGATGACGTTGTTTATAGCAGTTTCTCCTTCCGGTCTACGACAAAACTATCTCCAGGGGTGCCGGGCACTGAGCGATTTGACCCTTGTTGCCGCGACTGCAGACAGGGGCGCCTCCTCTACAGTATCCCTGTTAGAGCGAGAGCCACCGGCTACTAAGCAACCTAAGTGACAGCAAACTCATTGCTTTCGTATATGCATTGATTAATTTATCATCATTCAACAGATACTTATAGAGTTCCTAGTATGTGTGACTCTAACTCATTTTCAGGCCTTGGCCCCTCAAAATAGGTGCTCCCCTGAGTGCTCCATGGCACACATCCCTCTGCACTTGACCGTTTATTGCCTTGTTTGCACTCCCCTCGCTGGGGGCTGCACAGTGGCGGGGGCTGTGTCTGTTTGGCCAGCGATTGCTTCTCTCATGTTCTGCACAACCTCCGGCAAGGGTAATGCTATCGGCACGCCGTTACTGATTAATGATAGGCTAGTAAGTTAATTTATACATAAATGCAGTGAGTTTTCTGTCAGTTGAAGTGTGTTTGCAGAGGGTGGATCCCCACTAATAAGGATCTTTTTAAAATTTATCCCTTTTGGCACTCTACAGACCACAGCTTACCTTGCGATTGCAGATGCCTTAGCCCACTGCCCCGTTAGACTGTGCCCTTGAGAACAGAGGGGTTCTACTTGCCTTTGAAATCCCACAGCATAAGCAGGAAATCAATGCCTGGGAAATGTACAAAGATCTATTTTCCGAGAATGGGTTTACAGAACAAGAATGCTGCTGGAGCACTAAAGCAAAAGGGACAGTAATGCAATGCATTACTGGCTTTGCCAGGCCACTAAGAATACCTGGTAAACATTAGCTAAGGTGTAGCCCTTTGCTTGCCATTAAGATTTACTGATTTCAGTAGAAAGGAACCTAAAATCTAGCATGTTACATAACTCAGACACGGGGGACAGTCTCTAATCACCTAATAGTTCATAAAATACACATTGCCTTTGTTTGTGGTTAGTTTAAATGCCATTGTCTGCAAAGTAGGATCTGTGCAATAATAGGTCTGCTGTGTGAATGATGGGTTTGGTTAGTGGATGAATTTATCTTGTGTCCTTGCATTCTCTAAGAATAATTCTTCTCACTCTGAACAAATAAATCAACAGCGTTGGCTAACCTGGTACATGTAAAAGCACCTTCAGTAAATGCTAGCCTCTCCAGAATAAATCCAACAATAAAGGCTTCTTTTAAATCTCAGTTGCTTACATAACAGTGACTGTTGTATAGAGAGATTAACATGGTATCTTGTTTCTTCCTGGTGTGGTGTTACTTTCATCTTGCAAATATGTACTTGTCCATGCCTGTGTATCCACCGGTGCCTTTTGAACACTTGGAAAACTCAGCGTCTCAGAGAGCAGGCCAGGAGGTGGATGATAACTCATTGTTTCTGGCCAGAAGTTATTGGGCATGACTTTTAGGAGAAACAGCAAGAGAGCAATGGGGCGTGGCAAAGGAGGGGAGAGGAATGCCGGCACCCAGTCCACGCCTGCTGCCCAGGGACCTTAGCTGGTGGTTTGTCATGTCTTAGCATGACGGTATTCAAGCCATGTGAGGATGGAAAAAAAAAATGCCCAGCTTGGGGCTTGGTCTAAGAACAACCAATTGCTTTGGTTTAAACCACACGGCTCCACCGTCAAATTAAGTATTTTCAAGCTAATACAAATTATCATCAGTCCATTGACTGATGACTGAAATAAATGAGGCTGAGTCTAAAAGAAATCAACCTGCACACAGCAGCCAACTCCCAGCACCACCTCCTTACTTTTTCCAGCCATGGGCACTTCTGGTCAGAGCGTGTCCAGGATGCTGGTGAGTCCAGACTGGGAAAAGCGTCATAAGCCGGTTGCTTTTGCTTCCCTCTGTGTTAGGCCAGGCAGATTGTTTCCTTAATGGGGTCATGGAAACCCAAACGTATCCAAGAGCTAAATCAGGGGTACCTTCCACCCTGCAGAAATAATCTTTACCTTCAAAAGGGACAGGAATTCAAGGGACGCTAGAGGAGAAGGGTGGTGGGGAAAAATAACTCAGATGTTGTGTGTTAGGAACCAGCTCTGGAATTATAGTGTATGTCAAAGAGAATGTGGATTCAATTGATGGATGTTGGTTTTAGAATTTCTTATTTGAGGTGATATTCACTCTCTGTAGAGCTCTGTAAACAGTATGAGCTTCCATGCACCCGAGAGAGGGTCAGTCCCACGGGTGTTGGCCAGGGTAGAGGGTGTGTGTGCAAGAAAAGGGGAGCAAAGTGGAGGGAGGAAAATCACTTCCCCCTCAGTGTGCCTCGTGTGGGACCATCCCCTCATCCTCCTTGGGGACTTGAGGTCAACGAGGGTTGGGTGGGTTGAGGGCAGGGCCCCCTGCGTGTGTGTGCTGCTGTTTGTTCTCTTGGTGGTACTTTCTTTTTTTGTATCTGTAGAACCTGTCCTCACCATCTCAAATCAGCACAGCTGTGGTTCTCACTTTACCACTTCCACTCGGTGTTGGCTTTGCTTGTTTTCATCCAGGTTAAGGCCATGAACAAGATGCTGTAGAAGATCTCTTTTGTTTAAAGTTTATCACTAAGTTGGTTTCGCTTCCTGATTTTCATGAATAAACATATTGTTGAAGGGGGATTTTGAAATCTATTTTAAAAACATATTTGCATTTAATGAAAAATACCACAAAGACATTGCTAACCGTGGGCGGGCACACCTTGATTTTCTTGGGCATAGGGGACGAGGTGGTCTGGTGTTTGTGACCCCATCGTGCCACCATTGTTGGCTGTTTAGGGAAAAGTCCCTTTTCTATTTTGCTGTAAAATGGAAGTCACAATAGTGTCATCTATAAGGAACCATTGAGCAGACAGGATTTTGAAGAGCTTAAATCATTCACTCAATTATTTCATTGATGTTGATTGAATAAGTGGTAAGCGCCCATAGACTGTGCTAGCAGCTGTGATATAGGAGTGAATAAAATATAGTTCTACCTTTATGGAGGACTGCTTAAGTCAGTGCTCCCCAGGCCTTCGGCTTTGAGCAGGGAAGGAAGTGTGAGACGTTGATGGAGACCCTCATACTATTCCTTTTAGGACTCTTGGCCAACCGTAGAGAGAGAACACGAACAGGCTTGTAGATCCACTGAGAAAGCTTCTGAGATCATCTGGCAGGATCTGAGCTCTATCCAAATAGTTCTGAGCATTAAAAACATAAATAAATTTGACCAATGCCTATCATAAAATATTTTAGGAAAATTTAACTTTAGAATATAAAATTTGGTAACTGAGACACAGTGTGGTAGAAGTTCCTCTAGACTGGAGACAGGAGCCTTATGTTCTAGTTGTCATCCTGCCACTGGTTAGGCACAGGACTTTGGACAAGTCATTTAAATTTTCTGAGTCTCAGTTCCCTCATTTGGTAAATGAGAGCATTGAATCATATTAGGCTTTCTCTAGCTATATGAGTACCAACAGCAGCAGACAAGATGATTTAGGTAGTATATCAATGATTGGTTTTCAGTTATTTATTTTATTTTATTTTATTTTTTGAGACAGTGTCTCACTTTGCCCAGGCTAGAATGAGTGCCATGGCATCAGCCTAGCTCACAGCAACCTCAATCTCCTGGGCTCAAGCAATCCTACTGCCTCAGCCTCCCGAGTAGCTGGGACTACAGGCATGCGCCACCATGCCCGGCTAGTTTTTTCTATATATATATTAGTTGGCCAATTAATTTCTTTCTATTTATAGTAGAGACGGGGTCTCGCTCTTGCTCAGGCTGGTTTTGAACTCCTGACCTTGAGCAACTCCGCCCGCCTCGGCCTCCCAAGAGCTAGGATTACAGGCGTGAGCCACCGCGCCCGGCCAGTTATTTATTTTTATATACCTCAAAAAACATAATGCTTCAAGCTTCTGACATCACAGAAATGATTGCTTAGCATAAGGCTAAATTTATTAAAGAAAAAAGGGAAGGCAATTTAAAGAATATTACCAAATAAAAGTACAGGTCATAATTGATTATTATCATGGACATTTTTAAGGTTGTATGTGATTAATTGAGGTCAGGAAACCCCTGAATATATGATCTCTTAGTTTTCTTCCATTTCTGTCTCTCTGTAATGATTTTGCCTTTTTATATTTGAGTAATATGGTCTTCCATGGAAAGTTTCTACTGGAAATAGTATCGTGGTGTCCAAAATAAACTTGTCAGCCTGCCCAAATGCTCAGTAAGCCAGATAGTTTTGAATGATCTTTTTACATGTAGTTAGGTCTTTATGTGAGTCACCTAACTCATTACTGCTATAAACATAATCTTTTTTCGATTTTCTTTGATGTGTTTTCAGATCAGGGTTTTGACAGAAAGGATGTTCAAACATCTTCGGAAATGGTTTGTCACTCGATTTGGGGGGCATTCCCGGCAAAGAGCCAGGCTAGTCTCCAAAGATGGAAGGTGCAACATAGAGTTCGGCAATGTGGAGGCACAGTCAAGATTTATATTCTTTGTGGACATCTGGACGACTGTGCTTGACCTCAAATGGAGGTACAAAATGACCATCTTTATCACAGCTTTCTTGGGGAGTTGGTTTCTCTTCGGTCTCCTGTGGTACGTGGTAGCCTACATTCACAAAGACCTCCCCGAGTTCCATCCTTCCGCCAATCACACGCCGTGTGTGGATAACATCAATGGCTTGACCTCAGCTTTTCTGTTTTCTCTGGAAACTCAGGTGACCATCGGATATGGATTCAGGTGTGTGACAGAACAGTGTGCCACCGCCATTTTTCTGCTTATCTTCCAGTCTATCCTTGGCGTCATCATCAATTCTTTCATGTGTGGTGCCATCTTAGCCAAGATCTCCAGGCCCAAAAAACGTGCCAAGACCATCACGTTCAGCAAGAACGCAGTGATCAGCAAGCGAGCCGGGAAGCTTTGTCTCCTGATCCGAGTGGCCAATCTAAGGAAGAGCCTTCTTATTGGCAGTCACATATATGGGAAGCTTCTGAAGACCACAGTCACTCCCGAAGGAGAGACCATTATTTTGGATCAGATCAATATCAACTTTGTGGTTGATGCTGGGAATGAAAATTTATTCTTCATCTCTCCACTGACAATTTACCATGTCATTGATCACCACAGCCCCTTCTTCCACATGGCAGCAGAAAACCTTCTCCAGCAGGACTTTGAATTAGTGGTGTTTTTAGACGGCACAGTGGAATCCACCAGTGCTACCTGCCAAGTCCGGACATCCTATGTCCCAGAGGAGGTGCTTTGGGGCTACCGCTTTGCTCCCATAGTATCCAAGACCAAGGAAGGGAAATACCGAGTGGATTTCCACAACTTCAGCAAGACAGTGGAGGTGGAGACCCCACACTGTGCCATGTGCCTTTATAATGAGAAAGATGCCAGAGCCCGGATGAAGAGAGGCTATGACAACCCCAACTTCATCTTGTCAGAAATGAACGAAACAGATGACACCAAAATGTAACAGTGGCTTTTCAGCCCAAGTAAAGCAAAGTCTCTGAGGCGTGACTAGAGGCATTATGAAACAACTGACAGTTTGGAGGTATGAAAGTAGAGTGAGACCTTTCAAAGTCTGCCAGCACCAAGACCTCTGAGCCCCGTTGCCATGACCCTACAGGACACATAGCTCCACAGGGCTCCTGTATGGGGACACGCAATGCATTTGTAGAATGGAAGCCAAAGAAGCTCACTTGGAATCCCAAGTACGATTATTTGAGATCACTCAATGTTTGTAGGAACAGACAAAATCATGAAAAGTCTCATGGACAAGCCAAACAAGATATTTTTAAAAGTCTCCTTAGAGAAGTTATGAGCCTCAGATAGGATCAAGGAATAATGATATTATCATTTTGATTCTATTGATAAGAAAGATTCCACTTTTATTTTAATTCTGACTTTTATCAATGAAAAATGTGTCTCCTGAGTTAGGGGAGATGAACTAACCTATCAATGACAATAAGAAAAGACTGTTACACAAAGAACAGTTTGAGTCTCTAACCTCATGTAGAACAGGTAGAGACTAAATCCACACTCTAGAATCTTGATGAACACCTTCTGCCAGACAGAGTGCTCGAGTTGAAAGTGGTGGTGATATTTCTTTTCATCTGTATTGAATGGGTTAAGGGGCTATAAATCTGTTAAAAGGTTATTTCCTGCTTTTCCAAGAGGGCAATGAGGAATTTGAAGGTGCAGAATCAGTTTAGAAAGAGACATACTGCTAATGTTTCTGAGAAGAAAAAATTTGTTGTGTTTCCCTGCCTAGGGTTTATACTGAAACGCTAGGTCTAAAGGAAAAGTGAGAAGGAGAAAGAAATGGGTGTGGCCCACAGGCAGGACATTGCTGAGCTTTTCTTTCACTGACAGTGAACACCTCATCTTCCTAAAAGGGAGCGATTGGCCTTTAGGGGAAGGTTTTACTGTGAATGTCTTGTTCAGTTCCCCACCTGCATTATTATGAACGTGTCTTAGAAAAAATCGTACTTAAAGCTGCTTAGAAATCAAAACGTTTTCAGTGTGTTAATTAATATATTAAATTTCTGAAGCTGTGCACACATTACTCAGAAGTGTCAATCATTGCGCACTAATTGAGACAGGCCAGCTAGTGAAAATCCTCTTGCTGAGGGTGAACTTTCTCCTGGAAGGGTGGGACAGGTGGGGAGGTGGCACACAGGACACGTTGGCTGTCTGGCTCCCCAGGAGGAGATGCCGTTGGCTGCAGACACATCCCTTCCTGTACCGCTCCATCCAATCTCTCCGGCGTGAGTCCTGGCACATCGAGGGCCCGCTGCCGGCAGCTGTCCGTCGGGATGGCTTTGTCTTTCCAGGCTTAGGGTTGAGTTTGTACAGACCCATGGGCATACTCTGGTCCTTCTGACCAAGACCAGGGGGAGGTCTGACGGGCTAAGGGTTGCACTCCTTGTCAGTGGCCATAGCAGTGAGCACTGGCCCACATGGAACTTGCTCCGTGCCTTGTGTGCTTTGGCACCACAGTTCAGCTTGCTGACAAAGCTAAAAGAAATTGGGTATCACAATCTTGAGGTAGCTAGAACTCTCAGCTGGCTCACTGTCATGAGGTTTTATGACTCTGTGGCCCTTTATAAGCTGAAGGGAAAATGTATTGACACAGGCCATTCATATCGGAACACACCGCTTCTGGTGTGTGCCCTGCTTGTTGGTGACATGCTGGGGATCACTGGAAGTGACTTTGTCATAAGCAGTCCCTTCCCTTTGATTATTTAGAGAGCTGAACACCTGGGATCTTTCCAATTGGTATTTGTTGCTGGGTGTCTTGGTGGAGCATGCTTCTAAATATTCCTTTACAAGGATCAAGGCACTCTGCAATCATCAGCATAGCATCCATTAGAACCCTTTGGAAATGAGGCCCTGGACAAGTAACTTTGGATAGTTCTAAGGGGTGGCTGAAATCCAAAGGTGACATAAAACCCTTGGCATTTGGAGGGAGTGGTTAACAAGGGCACAGGAGCTCAGAGAGTCAAGAAGGTAAATGGGAAGCAGAAACCCCGGAAGGCCACATTGCTTACAGGTTAATGTCAACGCTAAAGGTGGTCTTTCTATTCCAACTCGATAACACTTTTTCCCAGTAGGATCTGATCACATCAGTACTGCTGTTGCCACAGGTATGCATGTATTTATATTTATTGATTTATCTATTTTAAAGGCAATTCAACATCATCCCGTGACACTTTCCTACGTTTGAATTTTCTTTGGTATTGATTCCCCTCAAATTGCCCAACTCATCTCTGTTGCCGTAGGGAGTTTGACTCCTTTGACTCAGAGCGCCTGAGCCTGGCGTGACCTTCCTGGACTTAGGTGGTCTCAAGGTCCCATATTTGCAGTTAAGAATTGGGAGGCTGTCTTTAATGGAAAAGGCTAAATGTCTAAAAATCATTTATTCCTTAAGTGAGAAAGGGCAGGAGAAGAGGGTCCTCTCTTAGTTGCCAAATCTGAGAAGCGAGGTGATCAGACGTCTGTGTCCGGGCAGGTGCGCAGCCAGGCGCAGAGACGGCCGAGGCCGCGTCCCCTTGGAGACTCCATCAGTCGGAGACGGCCTCAGCAGAAGGCTTCTGCCAACGGCCTGGGTATCTTCCCCGGCCAGAGGGAGCTTAGGACACCCTCGGGGGACGGAATGCAAACGAGCCTGCCAGCCCCGCCTCGCTGCCCTGACAGGAAGCCTGTGTCAATCTAGGCTTGACGGGGAGATAGAGCATTTTATTTTGGAAGCCAGAAGTTGAAGAACAATGAGTGGAATTTCCTCTTTCTGTCCTGCAAGGGCTGTTTGTCACTGGGGAGATAAAAGTCCAGGGGAGGGAATAAAGGTTATCGGGAACTGCGCAGCACAGAGCGCGTGAGGGCAGCGGGAGGCGGGGTATGGAGGAAATCTATTTCAATGCCTGTCATTAAGTTTCCATTAAAAGAACATTCAGTTAGGAATTCAAAAATAATTTAATCTCCCCAGCCAGATGCACCCAGCTGGACTCCTTGGAGCTGAGCCCCGTGGAGAGGGGGCCGTGTGTGGCCCGCGGCTGGGCTGGGCTGCACGGTCTCCGGCCAGCGGCGTCCTTGACCGAGGGGTGTTCTAGAAGACATAAGTGTCTCCAGGCCAGTGAGAGGCCCCAAGTTTGTGCTGTGATAGAGAAAATTTGGTACAGGGACTGTTTACTAAGTTTTTACCATGTCTCAGGTTCTGTCCTAAGCATGTTATACATATTAGTTCATTTAATTTTCCTAGCAACCCCACGAGGTCAGTGCTATTGTTACACCTTTTTTTCACTTGGGCATCTGAGGTAAGGAACTTGTCCAGAGTCACCCGCTGGTGAGTGGCAGGGCTGGAACGCACACCCAGGTCGGTCTGCCTGAAAGCCGGTGAGTTTCGAGTCGCTAAGGTGTCCGCGCCAGGAGGGGTCACCTGCCAGGAGGGCTCCCAGGGCAGCCAGACGTTTGCCGGGACCCACGGCTGCTCGGCGTGGGCCAAGGCCCTGCGCTGCACTCCGGGGGACGCCGCTCGCCGCTCAGCTCGGGCCAGGGCCCTGCGCTGCACTCCGGGGGACGCTGCTCGCCGCTCAGCACGGGCCAGGGCCCTGCGCTGCACTCCGGGGGACGCTGCTCGCCGGGGCCCTGCGCTGCACTCCGGGAGACACCGCTCGCCGCTCAGCACGGGCCAGGGCCCTGCGCTGCACTCCGGGGGACGCTGCTCGCCGCTCAGCACGGGCCAGGGCCCTGCGCTGCACTCCGGGGGACGCTGCTCGCCGCTCAGCTCGGGCCAGGGCCCTGGGCCTGCACTCTGGGAGACGCCACTCGCCACTCAGCTCGGGCCAGGGCCCTGCGCTGCACTCCGGGAGACACCGCTCGCCGCTCAGCACGGGCCAGGGCCCTGCGCTGCACTCCGGGAGACGCCACTCGCTGCTCAGCACGGGCCAGGGCCCTGGGCCGGGCGTGACGGACACCTCCGGGCTCACAGGCCCCAGGCAGAGGCAGTGGTTTCCACAGGCCCTGCACACGCCGGTCGGCACCCAGAGGGCTGCGGGCACCCGGAGGGCTCGGGCAGCGTGTGGGTGCGGGCGCTCCTCCTCACGTTGTGTGGCGCTGTGGGAGCAATGCATGTCTCTGGATACACATACACTGAATATGCGCGCCGATTTAAAGCCACGTAAATATATACGTGTTCCTATTTCAGTCTTCCAGGTGGAGATGACACTGTCTCCGTTTTGGCGGATGGCGACATGAAGCCTCAGTCCTCCCCAGAGAACAGCGACAGCGTCCTCTGTGTGTCCTAGCACCAAATAGTTCTTTACACAGTGAATAAATGGTTTGGGGGTGGATGAATGAATGAATGACTTGCTCAAGGTCTACAGGGCTAATAGTGGATTTGAACCCTAGGCATTTGCCGAGGGGCCTTATTTGTAAAATGGATTTTGAAACAGGGCTGAGGAGAGGACTCAATGAAATAATAGATGCAAAAATCCCTCCGTAGGAAGTAAGCGGCCATGCCTGCGGCGACACGGCGCAGGGCATCGGCTGGAGGCAGGGAGCGAAGGGCGGCCTGGCCCAGCGTAGACCCTGGCGCTTCTCGGGCAGGCGCTGACAGCCCCTGGGGAGGCCAGCAGGAACCAGGCAGCCTTCAGAGAGGGGCCGGCCGGGGCGGGACGGGCTGTGAGCTGGGGCAGTCTGAGTAGAATCCTGGTGCCTTGGGTTTCAGTTCAACCCAACAGGTGCTCCTTTGGCCTGCTGTGAGCAGCGCTGGGCATGGAGAAACGCCGGAGCGAGTGTCCTGCCCACGGAGAAGATCCAGGGCTTCAACCCGCCCAGTGACCAAGCTAAACTGGAGAACTGCGCATTGTGGAGAAAGTCATCGTTTTTGTCTTATGCAAATGCTTATAATAGTTTCAAAAAAAAACCTGCTAATAAGATTATTGATTATAGTGTTAAAATTATTTGGGATTAAAAAATTTTTTGTAATCTACCCTTTATTTTCTTTCTAACAAATGGTTATATAATCAACAAATGTTTAAAGTCACTTGAGGTAGTTCTTTCCTCTGTGATCATGCTCCAACTTGACATAGTTAGGTTCATTTTTGTCAGTTTATATCCAAGGGTCAGAGTCTATTGTTTTCCTTTTTTTTAATTTTTCTGTTTTATTAATTATGCAAGGAATTTATATGATTTCAAAACCACAGAAGAGGGTTTGGAAAACTTACTTCCATTCCTCTACACTGTACTCCCTTCCCCTAGGCAAGGCTAACCCTTCTTATTTGTTTTGTCCTGCTGCTGTTTCTTTCTGAAGAATATAAGTAATACGTGTATATTTACATCCTCCCCCTTCTTACAAAGAAAGGCAGCATTCTATAAACACTGTCCCACAGCATTTCTTCACTTGCAGTATATCCTGCAGGTCACTGTGCAGGGATGACTGCTGGTAATGCTGACGTCTGTGGCTCCTCCCCACTCCTTCCCTGTGTTTTTGCAGTAGTTGCTGGAATCTTGCTCCAGAGGCCCCTGCCCTGCTCTCTGGAGCCTGAGAGATTGTGGGCTGTTTTGCATCTCTGCAGGGTGCCTGCAGGGCTTGCTGTGCCTACCCAGCCTGAGAATGAGCTGGGCTCTCAGAACCAGGGTTCCCAGCATGAGACAATCTGCCCAGGACTAGTAGCTCTTCAAGGATCAAACCCTCCTGGAATTTTGGCTGGTTAGAAAGCCAGAAGAGCTGTCCTCAAGAGAAGCTTCCCACTCCAGTACATGGTCTGGGGGCTTGGCTGGGGAGAGGGCATTCTGTGTAACTACCTTTTGATTAGGGTCCGTGGACCCTTTGGGGGTTGGGGGTCATGAAGCCCATTGTTATATGCAACATTTTGTGCACAAATACAAAATTAAAAATAATTTAATTAATGAAATGGATAAAGGCTACAATGAAGTATGAAAAAAATGCTGAAGGAGACAGAAGCAGGGAAGGCTTCTTGGAGGAGGTGGCAGATGATCTGGGCTTGAAGGGTGGGTAAGATTTGAAATAGGGAAAGGTGAAGGGTAGAT